TGCCTATATCTTTGGTATTGAGACTATTTAAGTCTTTTAACATTCTTATATTATTATTATTTTTTTAAGATTTTATTTATTGGGGCACCTGGGTGGCTCAGTTGGCTGAGCATCTGCCCTCAGCTTGGGTCATGTTCCTAGCATCCTGGGATTGAGTCCCACATGGGGCTCCCTGTTGAGTGAGGAGTCTGCTTCTCCCTCTCCATCTCTCCTCCACCTGTTGTGGTTGCTTTCTCAAAATAAATAAAATTAAAATCTTAAAAAATAAAAGATTCTATTTATTTATTTGACAGAGTGTGCAGGCTAGAGAGCTCACAGTCGGGGGAATGGTAGGGAGAGGGAGAAGCAGGCTCCCTGCTGAGCAAGGAGCTTGGGATCATGACATGAGCTGAAGGCAGACGCCCCACTGACTGAGCCACCCAGGTGCCCCAGTCTTAACATATTTAAAAGTTTGGGTTGTTCATTTTTTATTGTTGTTTTGTAGGAGTCCTTCTGCATACAAGTTCTTTGTTACATACAGTATATATTTGACAAGTATTTTTTCCTAGTCTCTGGCTTACCTGTTCATTTTGTCTAATGGTGTCTTTGAATGAACAGAAATTTTTTTTTTTTTTCAGTTTGAAATACAACTTATTGGTGGATTATGCTTTTTATATCCTGTTTAAGAAATCCATACCTGACTTTTGGTCTTAAAAATATGTTCTGGGGATGCCTGGGTGGCTCAGTTGGTTAAGCCGCTGCCTTCGGCTCAGGTCATGATCCCAGCGTCCTGGGATCGAGTCCCACATCGGGCTCCTTGCTCGGCGAGGAGCCTGCTTCTCCCTCTGCCTCTGCTGCCACTCTGCCTGCCTGTGCTCTCTCTCTCGCTCTCTCTCTGGCAAATAAATAAATAAAATCTTTAAAAAATATATATATGTTCTGAAGGGTACCTGGGTGGCTCAGTGGTTTAAAGCCTCTGCCTTCAGCTCAGGTCATGATCCCAAAGTCTTGGGATCAAGCCCCACATCGGGCTCTCTGCTCAGTGGGGAGCCTGCTTCCTCCTCTCTCTCTGCCTACTTGTGATCCCTGTCAAATAAATAAGTTAATTAAAAAATACATATATATGTTCTGATATGTTTTTCTAGAAACTTTGTAAACACCCATTTCTTTAGGAGTTTCCTTTCCCCCATTGAACTAATGATTTAATACTTTAGCTGAGGGGTGCTTGAATGGCTTAGTTGGCTAAGTGTCTGCCTTCAGCTCAGGTCATGCTCCCACAGTCCTGGGATAGAGCCCCACATCAAGCTCTCTGCTCCCTCTGCTTCTCTCTCCCCGTCTGCCTTTCCCCCTGCTTATGTGCTCTCTTTCTCTTTCTGTCAAAAAAGTAAAATCTTCAGGACGCCTGGGTGGCTCAGTTGGTTAAGCAGCTGCCTTCAGCTCAGGTCATGATCCCAGCATCCTGGGATGGAGTCTCACATTGGGCTCCTTGCTTAGCAGGGAGCCTGCTTCTCCCTCTTCCTCTGCCTGCCACTCTGCCTGTGCTTGCTCTCGCTCCTCTCTCTCTCTGACAAATAAATAAATAAAATCTTTAAAAAAAAAAAAAAGGTAAAATCTTCAAAAACAAACAACCCCCCCCCAAAAAAAAATAAATAAATAACTTCAGCTGAAAATCATTTGACTGCATTTGTGTGACTTGCAGGGTAGAGATAATATTACAAGGCAGTAACTTTGTCTATAGAAATCCTTAATGGATCTTTTTGAAACCTGGTGCTGAAAAATAGAAAGCATAATTTGTAATTTAAAAAAGAATAGTTATAGGGCAAACTATTATAGATACATTTTTAAATAGCTTGGCTGGAACCACCCACGCTATCCATCTGCAAGCTTCTGACGAGCTGGATGCTTCTAATTGGATCAGGGAGACACAATCTCAGAACAAGTAATGACACTTGAAAAAACCTGCAGTTAATTAAAAAAAATTTTTTTTAAAGATTTTATTTATTCACTTGACAGAGACACAGCGAGAGAGGGAGCACAAGCAGGGGGAGTGGGAGAGGGAGAAGCAGGCTCCCTGTTGAGGAGGGAGCCCAATTTGGGGCTCGATCCCAGGACCCAGAGATTATGACCCAAGCCAAAGGGAGACGCTCAACGACTGAGCCACCCAGGCACCCCCGAAAGAATTCTTAAAAATATACCAAGAGGTACTTAGGATAAATAGAGAATAATCTGACAGAGAAAACATTAACTATTCAATACCTCTATTATATTCCTCCTTTTATCAAAGACCTAGTTGTGGGGTTGGGAAGGAACCTATCTGGAAAAAGCAGGGTCAGGGAAGGTAGAATACTCAGTTTTCAGAACAGTTTTGTTCTCCTGATCCATCTGAATTATATCGCTGTGGTCTGAGAAAACTAGCCCCATATACTCTCAGTAAAATCTTGAGGCATTATGAAGCAAAGGGAGAAGCCCGAAGATGGGCGACATGCAACATTTGTCCCAGCTGTCAAAGGTAAGCCTGATAGTGGTGATTCCTCAGAGAAGTACTAGAACATTTTATTAAACAAATGGCCTCTGGACACAGGGAAAGACAACTGGTGAACACTGAAAGGTATATGGGTTTATAAAGGACATTATCCAACAATTTATTGATGACTAATTGTGCTGGGTGCCTAACCTATGAACAGTTGGCTGCTGGCCTTGAGATTTGGTTCAGACTCCTTGTATGTGCATTTGGTTCAGACTCCTTGTATGTGCATTTGGTAACAATATAATATTTTAAGTTAGTTATTTTGGCTTGAAGACAGCGTGCTGATCAAATTTGTAACTGATAGAAAGTTGGTACAAATAGTGAATACATATTCAAAAAGATCTCAACTGGTAAATAAATGCCCAAGTTAAATGACATTTATTAGAGGAAAATTTTAAACTTTGATTCAAAAAAACTAATTTGTACACCCATGTGCATAACAACATCATTCACAGTGGTTAAGATGTGAAGCAACCCAAGTATCCATGGATGGATGAATGGACAAGCAAACTGTGGTGTCTATGTACAATGGAATGTTATTCAGCCTTAATAGGGAAGGAAATTTTGACACATGCTACAACATGGGTGACCCTTGAAGACCTGATACTAGGTAAAATAAGCCAGTCACAAAAGTATGGTATTATGTGATTCCAGTTATATGAGATAGTCTACCTAGAGAGTCAAACTCTTAGAGGCAAAGTAGACTGGTGGTTGCTGGGGCTTGAGGGGTATAGGGTGTTGTCTAATGGATCCAGAGTTTGAGTTTTGAGTTAAACAAAACAGTTTTGTTTTGAGTTTACCTTGTTTTTTGTTTTGAGTTTACCTTGTTTTACAAGGTAAACAGAGTTGGGCAGATGGATGGTGAGGATGGTTGTGCAACAATATGAATGATCTTAGTGCCACTGAAGTGTACATTTAAAAATGGTTAAGATGGTAAATTTTATGTTAATATGTATTTAACCACAATTAGAAATTATAAAAATTTGATGACACAAGTACAGAGTATTTATTAGGCCATGTGAAAGATCCTACTGTGTGTCAGGATGCCATGGCTGTCCAAAGTCTATAATGAAGGCAAACTGCATAATAGGAGTATAGTAACCAGAGGAAGAAGGCCAAGGCAGGGTATGCTCAGGATATGGCATTTAGTTCTGGGGGGTCTTATTTCAGGGGATTGTTGATAAACCCGAGAGTGGGCAAACCAGAGCAGCCTTGATCTTGGCTACTCTTCTGATAGAGAGTATGAGGAAGACCTGAAGGAATTATGGAGTTCTGTCTGTAATGGAGTGTATCAGTAAGCTTTGCTGTATAACAAACAGTTACAACAAACATCACAGTTTAGTAGCTTAAAACAAGTATTTCTCATAATTCTTTTCTCCCCAGGTTTATGGGGATGTAATTGACATATAACCCTGTGTAAGTTAAAGGTTTACAATGCACTGATTTGATTTTCTCATGATTCTTTGGGGAATCTGGGTGGTAGTTCTGGTCTGGGTCTGCTCAGCTGGAACTGGATGGCCTGGGGGTGGTCTCACTCGTATAACTGGCAGTTGGCTTTGTGTCAGATGGGGCAGTGAGGATGACTTTGGTCACATGTCTCTTGTGATCCAGAAGGATGGCCTAGGCTTATTCACATAGTGATGGCCCAAGAGAACCCAAGAGCAGTAAGAGAGCAAGCTTTCACACACATGTATTTTTCAAACCTCTTGGTTTTTGCTCTTATGCCATTGGCCAGAGCAGTAAGTCCAGAGTCATTGTAAGGTGATTCACTATCTGATGGCATGAAAAAAAGGTAGTTATTGTGGCCATTGTGCAAACAACCTATGACCACCTAGGAAGTGTAAAGGAAATAGAAAAGTTTCATTAGAAACATCACAGATAGGGGTGCCTGGATGGCTCAGTCGGTTGAGCGTCGGCCTTCAGCTTAGGTCATGGTCCCAGGGTCCTGGAATCGAGCCCCGCATTGGGCTCCCTGCTCAGCGAGGAGCCTGCCTCTCCCTCTGCCAGCTGCTCCCACTGCTTGTGTGCTTGCTCTCTCGCTGTTAAATAAATAAAAATCTTTAAACAAAAACAAAAAAGCATCGCAGATAGATGTGCCGGAGTCACTCAGTGGGTTAAGTGTCCTAACTGTTGATTTCGGCTCAGGTCATAATTCTCATGGTGGTGAAATTGAGCCCCAAGTCAGGCTCCATGCTAGAGTTTGGAGTGTGTTTAAGATTCTCTTCCTCTCCTGCCCCTCCCACTCGTGCTCACTTGCTCTTTCTCTGAAATAAATCTTATAAAAGAAAAAAAAAGAATCATCACAGGTAATTCCACAATGTAAAAAAGACCAGTGACTTCAGATCCATCTACAGAGTAGTTTTCTGACTGAAATGGCCCCAGAACAGAAGCAAGCCAACAATAAAGGGAGGGTCTTGTCGTTGGATGTGTTAGAGAGGTCGAGTGACCTCTTGTCTTTCTGACCACCTTGGACCTGTTACATCCTCTCTTCCAGGAAGCCTTTTCCTGCTTGCACACTACCTGTGGACCTGTTAAGGATGGCTGTTCTCTGTGCCACACACAGATTTCTGTTGCTCTACCTATACTGAATGACAGATACCTATAGTGAGTAACAAATGTCTTTACATGACTGTCTGGGAGTTCCTTGAGGGTGATTCACCATCTCTGTGCCAATGTCTGCAGGAAATTGTGTTCCAACCTCAGGTTGCCTCCTGGTGGTCATCTGACTGTGGCAACTCCAGCCACACTGTCTGCATTTCAGACAGAAAGAGAGAAAATACCCCCCGTCAGTAGAGATTACCTCCTTTAAAAAACATTACCAGAAGCTCTACCAGATGGTGCCTTCTTCCTATATTTATCTTTTTTTTCTTTTTTTAAGATTTGATTTGTTTATTTGACAGACAGAAATCACAAGTAGGCAGAGAGGCAGGCAGGAGTGGGGGGAAGGAGGCTCCCTGCTGAGCAGAGAGCCCAATGTGGGGCTCGATCCCAGGACCCTGGGATCAAGCCCCACATCGTGCTCTCTGCTCAGGGAGGAGCCTGCTTCCCCCTCTCTCTTTGCCTGCCTCTCTGCCTACTTGTGATCTCCGTCTGTCAAATAAATAAAATTAAAAAAAAAAAAAAAGGTACATCTTTTTTTGCAAGAGAGTTTGAGAAATACAAGTTTTTGATCTGTGTGTTGCATCTGGTAGGAAAGGATTCATAGATACCTTCTTCCCAGGATCTGACTCCTATTCAGGCTGCTTACGGAATAAATGACCTCTCTGACGTTGTGCACTAATTCCCAGAATCTGTGATTCCTCACACACATAATGAGGTAGGATGTTCTTTTTATCATAATCCTGGCTACCTTCATGACTATATTTTGTCACTTGGAGCTCCTAGCTTCATAATCCATGGGATATGGCAGGAATTGGCAAACGTTTTATGTAAAGGGCCAGATGGTAAATATCTTTTATTTTTGTGGGCCATTTGATTGATGTGTCATCTACTTTTTGCTGTTGTATTACAAAAGTAGCTATAGATAAAGGAATGGATGTGACTGTGTTCCAGGGGGGTCAGATTGGATTTGCCCTCCGTGGTGGGGAGTAAGTCTCTTCTTACAGTTCTGAGTGTTTTGACAAATGCACACAGTCTGCTCCATTTCATTCCCTCCATCAAACCCTCCTTATCTTTTACTTGTACCCTAACTGACGTTTTGTCTACAGTCTGTTAAACTCTTTTCCACCTAATTCACGTTAAAAAATTTGAATGGTTCTTAATTGCTTACTATGTTAGAGTCCAGGCAGCACACTAAAAGGGTTTACTGAGAAGTCTTTAATGAAGGGGTTTTTTACAGTGGTGTGAACAGTGAAGGAAACAAACCTACAAGGGATGGTGGGCACCCAGGAACTGGCTACCGCTAGTAGTCAGTGTTACCGCCTCCAGCACAGTGGGAAGAGGGTACGGATACCAGAACCAGTAAAAGCTATTGCTATAGGAGAGGGGTCCTTAGTAGGTACTGTGACCCTGTCAAGGAACACAGGCCCTGCCAGAACCACATCCTGGTAGAGAGAAGGCAGAGAATAAATAAGTTCATCCTTCCATCCATTTATCTCTCTTCCTGCTCTCTGATCTCCTCCTGGTGCTTCCCATTGGGTGAACCCATAGCATGGAGCCTTAGAAATTGGCCTTATGACTCCTGAGAGAGCAGGGCCAAGAGGGGATCAGGTGGGGAAGATGGGGCACAGCAGCATTTAAGCATACCCACCTATGAAAGCCCAAATTCCTAAGGTTAGTGCTTGGTGCCACCAGCTCTGGCTCCTGCACACCTTTCTGACTTTTTGCCCCCAAAATCTGGGCTGTTTTTCATTCTTTTGTCTCCACAGCCTTCCCGTTGGGCCCTCAGTAAAGGCGTGATGTATGAACAATCAGCACTGGTTTGAGTGGTGGGTTGGAGGCAAGCGCTTGCCAAGCCAGACAACAGAATGAACTTTCCTGGCTCATTTTTTTAGCACAAAAGAATGAAAGAAGAGTTGTTCCACACATACAAAACTTGTGTTTTTGCAGAGGGTCGGGAAGCTAAGTAACCTGCCCAGGGTTTCACAGCTGGTTATGGCCGTTCGGCCACATACAGCCCGATGCAGGACCCTAGATAGGTTACCTAGCCTCTCTGAGCTTCTGTATGGTCATCTGCAGAACGGGATTGTGTGCACTTAGATGTACTGTGTGTTACACTGTCGTACTTCACTGCATCTTAGCTCCGAATAGTCTTTATGTTCCTACATGACTTTTGAAGTTGGAGGAATCTTTTCTAAAATGATGTATGCGGAGACTTAACTATGGGCCAGGCCCTGTTATAAAAGCTTCACAAATATTAACTCATTTAATCTTTAACTCCCCTATCAGGTAGATTCAACTGTCCCATTTCACAGTTGAGGAAACAGAAGCGCGATGATTTAAAAACTTACCTGAGGTTACCTAGCTGATAAGTGGTAGAGCCAGGACTTGAGCCAGGCAAAGTGACTGCAGATTCCATGCATCTCACCTCTGTGCTGTCTTCCCCACAGCCTTGCAAAGTCCTGTCAGGTCACTTTCCACCCTTCATTCCTGATCAGCGTGTGGTGATTAGAGTGCATGTGTCGGCAGGGCTGACTGGATGGAGATCTCTGGAGGACCCAAAAGGTATATATATATATATAAGGATGTTAAAGGCAGGGAGTAGGGAAGTTTTAGAGGTTAAAAAGGGTAGTCACTGAAATAAGGGAAACCAGCTCTGCCTGCTTGAACAGGAAATACCTAGTGATCAAGCCTGCCTAGCTTCGTGCCATCTAGCTTCCTCAGAGGCCAGCTGATGCCCATTTATGGGTGTTGGTGAAGCTACGCTTTAAGTCACTGTCAGTAAAACAGAGGTTATTAAATTGTCTTCTAATCCATTCTGTTATTTTAAGCCACCAATGCATACATACACCCAAATATAACTAGAGCATAAAGAAATGAGATGGGAGAGAGGAGGAAGTTTGCCCTGGGCATGAATTTAGAGAGAACATGGATGTCCTTGTTTATAGTGGTTGTATCACTCCTCTGGCCCTTAAAGCTGTTGGTAATTAATGACCCACAAAACTTATGCAGCAACTTCAAGCTCCCAGGATATTAATCATATGTAAGTAGCCAAAACAACAACAAAGCAAAAACAAAACTGCAAATGTAGAAGGTGACCACTATAGCTGAAGAAGTCCAGGACATGATGATTATAAAAGATACTCTGTGACCTGTTTCTAGCCATACAGGAAGTCTGTAAAGGCACATTTATCAGCAAAGAGGAAAAAAACAGCTGAGAGTCTATAGACATTATTCATCATTATTAGAAAGAATGATGACTGAAATGAAACCCAATAGTAGAGTGTAGGGGGCAAGCCAAGATCTACAGTCCCAGAGAGTAGAGACACAAGGCCAGGAGGCTGATAGGGATCTGGAGTTAGAGGCAGCCCAAGTCATACTTATTTCATTGGTTCACAAAAGCACAGGTTTCCTTCAGGTGGGGCCAAGTAGGCTGTACTGGCAAACCAACCCCTAGGATAGACATGTAGTTTACATAGTACATTTGTATCTACACTAGAAGCAAAAGAGATGATCAACCTGAATATGAAATTAAGAAAACAATTCCAGAGGTACCTGAGTGGCTCAGTCGGTTGAGCATCTAACTCATGATTTCAGCTCAGGTCATGAACTCGGTATTGTCAGATCAAGCCTAACATCAGACTCCTTGCTCAGTGGTCATTCTGCTTCTCTCCCCATCTCTCCCTCTGTGCTTCCTCCTGCACACACTCTCTCTCTCTCTCTCTCTCTCTAAAATAAATGAATAAATCTTAAAAAAAAAAAAAAAAAAAAGAGGGGTGCCTGGGTGGCTCAGTGGGTTAACTCTGCCTTCAGCTCAGGTCATGATCTCAGGGTCCTGGGATCGAGCCTCACATCAGGCGCTCTGCACAGCGGGAAGCCTGCTTCCTCCCCTCTCTCTGCCTGCCTCTTACCTACTTGTGATCTCTGCCTGTCAAATAACAATAAAATCTTTAAAAAAGGTTGGGGAAGGAGACTCATGGGTGGCTCAGTTGGTTAAGCGGCTGCCTTCGGCTCAGGCCGTGATCCCAGCGTCCTGGGATCGAGTCCCACATCGGGCTCCCTGCTGAGCGGGGAGCCTGCTTCTCCCTCTGCCTCTGCCTGCCACTCTGTCTGCCTGTGCTCACTCTCTCTGACAAATAAATAAATTAAAAAAAAAAAAATCTTAAAAAAAAAAAAAAAGGTCGGGGGGAGCCTGGGTGGCTCAGTCATTAGGGTCTGCCTTTGGCTCCAGTCATGATCCTAGGGTCTTGGGATCAAGCCCCACATCTGGCTCCCTGCTTGGTGGGAAGCCTGCTACCCCCTCTCCCACTCCCCCTGCTTGTGTTCCCTCTCTCACTGTGTTTCTCTCTGTCAAATAAATAAATAAAATCTTTAAAAAAAAAAGAAAGAAAGAGAAAGAAAACAGTTCTGTTTACAGTAGCATCAAACAGCAGGGGCACCTGGGAGACTTAGTTAAGCATTTGCCTTCAGCTCAGGTCATGATCCCAGGGTCCTGGGATCGAGCCCCACATCAGGCTCTCTGCTCAGCAGGGAGCCTGCTTCCCCCCGCCCCACCTCCATCTCTCTCTCTGCCTGCCTCTCTGCCTACTTGTGATCTCTGTCAAATAAATAAATAAAATCTTTTAAAAATAAAATAAAGTAAATGGTACAGACCCAGTGGAAAACAGTTTGGTGGTTCCTCAAAAAATTAAAAATCTACTATAGGGGGGTGCCTCCGTGGCTCAGTTGATTAAGCATCTGCCTTCAGCTCAGGTCATGATCCCAGGGTCCTGGGATGGAATCCCACATCAGGGTCCCTGCTCCGCAGGGAGCCTGCTTCTCCCTCTGCCTGCTGCTCCCCCTGCTTGTGCGCACTTGATCTCTCTCTGACAAATAAAATATTTTTTAAAAAATATTAAAAATCTGGGGCACCTGGGTAGCTCGGTAGGTTAAGCCTCTGCTTTCGGCTCAGGTCATGATCTCAGGGTCCTGGGATCGAGTCCCGCATCGGGCTCTCTGCTCAGCAAGGAACCTGCTTCCCCCTCTCTCTGCCTGCCTCTCTGCTTACTCGTGATCTCTCTCTCTGTCAAATAAATAATTTTTTTTTTTTTAACAGAGATCACAAGTAGGCAGAGAGGCAGGCAGAGAGAGGAGGAAGCAGGCTCCCTGCTGAGCAGAGAGCCCGATGCGGGACTCGATCCCAGGACCCTGGGATCACGACCTGAGCCGAAGGCAGAGGCTTTAACCCACTGAGCCACCCGGGTGCCCCTAAACAAATAAAATCTTAAAAAATATATTAAGAATCTACCATATGATCTAGCAATTATATATCCCAGTATAAACCCAGAAGAATTGAAAGCAGAGTCTTGGGGCGGGGGGTGGTCCTGAAGAGAGATTCAAACACCCATGTTCATAGTAACCTTATTTCCAATAGCCAAAACATGGGAGTAGCCCAGATGTCTGTGTACAGATGAATAGATAAGCAAAATATGGTATATACGTGGAATGGAATATTATTTGATCTTAAAAGGGGAGGAAATTCTGACACATGCTTCAACATAGATGAACTTGAAGGACATTACACTAAGTGAAATAAGCCAACCACAAAAAGACATACTGTATGATTCCCCTTCTGCAAAGTACCTAGAGTAATATATATATACTTTTAAAACAACAAGAAAGTAGAATGGTGGTTGCCAGGGGTGACGAGAGGGATTGGGATGAGGAGTTAGTGTTTAATGGGTACAGAATTTCAGTTTTGCAAGATGAAGAATTTTGGAGGTAGATGGTGGTTAACGGTTGCACAATATGAGCGTACTTCATATCACTGAACCTGTTACACTTACAAGTGGTTAAGATGGTAAATTTTATGTTTATTTTATCACAAAAAAAGAATTTAACTTGAAAAGAAATTGATAGTGACACAGCCTCATCCCTCTACTCTGACTCAGTGGGTCTGGAGTTACCAGTACCTAATACACAGCCAGAGTTGGGACCACTGGGTTAGTAGATGGGCTGCTGTGGGGGGAAACCAGGTACCCTGAGCACACCCAAATCTCATCTTGGTTTCCAGGATAACTTTTCTTTAGGTTTGTTGTTGTTGTTTTGTTTTGTTGTTAAGTTTTAAAAACTTTTTTCGTTTATATTCAGTTAATTAACATATACAATATTATTGGTTTCAGAGGTACAGGCCTGCGACTCAATACCCAGTGCACATTACATCACATGCCCTCCTCGGTGTCCAGACTTTTGTTTAGTTTTGTTCTTTCTTTTTTTTTTTTTAAGATTTTATTTATTTATTTATTAGAGAGAGAGCGTGCGCACAAGCTAGGGAGAGTGGCAGAGGGATGGGGAGAAGCAGACCCTCTGCTGAACAGGTAGCCCGACTTGGGGCTCGATCCCAGGACCCCAGGATCATGACCTGAGGGGAAGGCAGACACTTAAAAACTCAGTCACCCAGGCGCCCCAGTGGTAGAGTCTTTATAAAAAATGTCTTTATACAAAAAATAACATGTTAAACTTGTTGTTGCCAGTTTGGTAGTTGAAATCATTTGTTGTTGTTGTTGTTGTTATTTTTTGTTTATAATGAATACTTTCCTATGCTACCATAAATTTTTAAGTTATAATCTGTGTAGTGCCTAGGTAGTTCTCTTCCAGCTTGTACTGGTTTTTGTTTCCCATCTTTTTCTTTCCCAATATAATATCATAGCTTCATGAACTTAGACTGTTTTGGCCCTGATGGATAAATGATTAGACCAGAGTCACACAAAACACAAAACATAAAGAAACAGAACAGAAGAGAGATTTGAACTCAACTTTCCTCATTTTTCATTCTTCCTTCTGCCAGTAGATGGATATTGCTGATATCCTTAAGTCTCTATGGGAAAAGGTTTGCAGCTTTTCATTCTAGAGCAGTGTTTCATTTGTGCTTTTGTGGCAGAGAACTTGTTGCTTCCGAATAAGTCCAGAAGGTAGCCTCAGCTGAGGGTGCCGTGCACTAATAGCCAGTATAATGCTTGCTGTTCCAGGAGCCATGTTTGACCAGGACTGTGGGAAGTTCGTATTCATGCTGGAGGCTCTTGTGAGGAGATGAGTTGATGGACAGAGAAACCGGCATGAAGATGCTCCCAGGAGTGGGCGTGTTTGGGACCGGCAGCTCCGCCCGGGTTCTGGTCCCACTGCTGAGGGCAGAAGGGTTCACCGTGGAGGCCCTGTGGGGGAAGACTGAGGAGGAGGCAAAGCAGCTTGCTGAGGAGATGAACATCACCTTCTACACCAGCCGGACCGATGATGTCTTGCTGCATCAAGACGTGGATCTTGTGTGCATCAATATCCCCCCTCCACTGACGCGGCAGATATCTGTGAAGGCTCTAGGTATGGACAGTCAGGCCGTAGCAAGGGCAGGTTGTGTCTCCCTCTGGGTGGTCCTCGTATGTCACTGCTCTCCTCTATGCTGGGTGGGGCGGGCACACTGGGGGCGTGCTACAGCTGTGGGAAGAAATGCTCCAGCCTTCCTCACCTCCATAAGTAACTCCATGAACAAAAATGAAGCAAACGCCTTAAGAGTTGGCCCCTCACAGGGGCTGGAGATTATTACATGCCGTGCAATGTGGTACTCGCTGTGGCAGCACACAGACTTTTCATGCAATGTCAGGTTGCCTGTTTGAAGTCAGAGTTCAAAGATTTGGGCAGTAGGAAACGGATTGTAACTGATGTGTTTGTTCTTCCATTTCCGTGGCACAGAGCACCTCAGAGAGGACAGGAAGGTGTGTAGCAAGGCTGCCATTTCCCATGTTTTGTCAGTCCTTCGCTAGATCAAGTGCACACCCTTCCTGCCACATTTTGCAATCTTGTGTGCGGGAAGGCAGGGAGGCTCTCTGACAGGATCCACAGGACTGTCTGCTCACATCTCCGCCTCCTTGGGAAGCAGTAGACAGGGCAGGGCTTCCTGAGCTGTTCTCCTGCAATTGCTTTTGGGCTACTCTTCCCTGTCAACTGTAGGTGACTTTTTTTCTCTTTTTCTTACGTAAATCAGAATCTAATTGAATAGGAAAACAAGCCAGTAAATATTTATCCAGCAGTTACTTTTTTTTTTAACGCTGCCTTCTCTATGCCAGGCACTGTCCTGATGTCTTTCTGTACATTCAGAGCAGTGTTGAATCAGAGCGCTTCCTGCCTTCAGATTGTACAGTTCAATTGAAGAGACTAGAGATCACATACATTACAAAGTAGATGAGAAAAGACTTGGGTCACAATTCAAGTAGCATATAATTAATTGACAGAGAAGTTGTGTTATGTAAAGTGGTAGAAACAAAATACTTCTCTGATGCAGTCAGTGATCTCGGGGCCCAGGGGCTTGTATGCCATGAGGCTTGACCACTCCTCCTGGCCACTACCATGGTGGAGAATCCAAGCCTCTGCTACTTGTACCCCTTGTTCTGAGGAGAAAAGAATGTCTGGCATCTCTGGCCCAGTGTGTTGGTAAAGATAAATGGTCATTGGAGCTTGCAAGAACGTGAGTCTGATGGTTAATTTGGGGGCATGTACATTTTGGCCAAATATTGTAGATGGTTTGTCTTTTTCAGAGAGCGGTGTCTAAGGATGTGTGACACGAGTTAGACACTAGATTCTTAGGAGGGCAGATAACAGCTTTCAGATTTAGTTTAGAAGTCAGCCTAAGCCAACCCTTTAACAGAGGGCTAGTGCCAGGGGATCAAGCTACCATGGCGGTTTGATTGCTTGCCATCCCCATAGCACGAATGCAGGCTGGTGAAGCCAGGTGTATCCAGAGGCAGAGTAGTAGAGGCTCTCAGTCTTAGAATTTAGGGTCCCCCCAGAAACTATTGCCAAGCTACATAGGAAGAAAGAGGAAACTCCAGGGTTCTTTGGCCAAAGGCCTGTGTTTTCTGATTTGTGGTACAGGAAAACGCTGGACTTGCTTTTCATATAAACAGGAAGGACAGGGATGACCAGAGACTTCTGGGATCTTCTGTTTCAGCCATTGGTGAACTAGCATCATCTGTCTTCTGTCTTCTCTCTCTGCATCTCTGTCGTAGGAGATAAGGGTGTGAATGAGAGTCCTTGCTCTGTTGTAGGCACGCAGTCCCAGGGCCAGGTTGGTGGGTCTAGCAGAGCTCATTCGAGCTGGACCTCCCTTCAGTTACTGCCCACTCAAACCCCAGAGGAGTTGCTGAGCATATTATAACCATGAAGTTCACTCCCTGTGTCCTTTCACCATTTTGTTTTTAAGATTTGTTCATTTATTGGGGTACCTGGGTGATTAAGTAGTGGTAAGTGGGTGATTAAGCCTCTGCCTTTGGCTCAGATCATGATCTCAGGGTCCTGGGATTGAGACCCACATCAGGAATCTGCTCAGCAGGGAGTCTGCTTCCCCTCTCTCTCTGCCTACTTGTGATCTCTCTCTCTCTCTCTCTCTCTGTCAAATAAGTAAATAAAATCTTTAAAAAAAAAAAAAAGATTTGTTCATTTATTTGAGAGAGAGAAAGAGTGTGCATGGGAGAGCATGGGGGTGGGGGAAGGGCCAGAGGGAGACAGAATCCCAAACAGACTCCCTGCTGAGCACGGAGCCCTACACAGGACTCAATCTCATGAGCCATTAGATCATGACTGGAGCTGAAATCAAGAATCCCACATTTAAGTGACTGTGCCACCCAGGTGCCCCTCAATTTTTTAAAAAAAAAGATTTTATTTATTTATTTGGCAGAGAGAGAGAAACAGCGAGAGCGGGAACATAAGCAGGGGGAGTGGGAGAGGGAGAAGCGGGCTTCCAGCTGAGCAGGGAGCCAGACATGGAACTCCATCCCAGGACCCCAGGACCATGACCTGAGCTGAAGACAGATGCCTAACCGACTGAGCCAACCAGGTGCCCCTTTTTCCTTTTTTTTTTTTTTTTTTTTTAAAGATTTTATTTATTTATTCGACAGAGAGAGATCACAAGTAGGCAGAGAGGTGGGGCAGGGAAGGGGGGGTGAGCAGGCTCCCTGCTGAGCAGAGATCCTCACGCAGGGCTCGATCTCAGGATCCAGAGATTGTGACTTGAGCCAAAGGCAGAGGTTCAACCCACTGAGCCACCCAGGTGCCCTCCCCTTTTCCTTTCGTTTAAATTGAGAATTCTCACTTAAGCACTCTCTCTGCCTGCTTCTCTGCCTACTTATGATCTCTCTTTGTCTCAAATAAATAAAATCTTTTAAAAAAACAAGAGTTGTATGCTCTTCCAACTGAGCCAGTCAGTTGCCCCTAAGTTAAATTCATTTTATTTTTTAAATCATTTTTTAAATAAAATCTTTAAAAAAAAATCATTTTTTAATTATTTATTTTTTTCCAAGATTTTATTCATTTATTTGACAGAGATCACAAGTAGGCAGAGAGGCAGGTGGGGCAGGGGAAGCAGGCGCCCCACTGAGCAGGGTACCAGGACCCTGAGATCATGATCCAAGCTGAAGGCAGCGGCTTAACCCTCTGAGCCACCCAGGCGCCCCAAATTCACTTTAAAAATAAGTAAATAAATAAATAGGGGAGCCTAGGTGGCGCCTGGGTAGATATAGGAAAAGGAGTGTACAGAGCAGGTGAGACATAGGAGGTGGAGAAGGCTCCTCACATGGTGAAGAGGATGAGAAAAGTCACCATCGTGCAGAAGAGCCCCAAGGCACCCCAAGAGGGCAAAACCCAGAATGGGGTAGGAGAAGAGCTGTTGCTTCAGAGAGGGGTTCCTGGCATAACCAATGATGCGGCTCCCAGGCAAAGTCCCAGTTCCATCCCCAGAGCCAGCCACCCCTACCGTGGCAGCCCCAGCCCCGATGAATTTGACTTCTATGTTGATACCCCTTGAAAGGGCGCTGGTTGGGAAGCTGTGGCTAGGGATAAGTAAGGTCAGGGGGTGTGGAGCTGCCAAGCTGCCGAGGCTCTCATGTGTCAGTGTCTCCAGTGGCTGGTCCAGACAGTGATTGGCTCAACACCCAAGAGGTGTTCCTGACCAAGAAGGAGTTGGAGACACCCTTACACAGGCAGACATTTTCAGGGGTTGAGGGGCTGTGGCAGGAGAGCTGCTTCCAAGGCAGAGAAGACAGAGAACAATCCTCAGCTTTTTGCTTTTGTTTTGTTTTGTTTTAGATTTTATTCATTGACAGAGACAGGAAGAGAAAGGGAACACAAGCAGGGGGAGTAGGAGAGGGAGAAGCAGGCTTCCTGCTGAGCAAAGAGTCCGATGCGGGGCTCGATCCCAGGACCTTGGGATCATGACCTGAGCCGAAAGCAGACGCTTAATGACTGAGCCACCCAGGTGCCCCCTCAAGTGATATAATTACTTAGCTATATAGCTATTGACATACTCTTAATTCTAGATCACCTTTGATCCAATCAGATCTTGAACCTGTGAGAAACTTACCACAATCATCTAAAGACTCTATTTAGGGGCGCCTGGGTGGCTCAGTGGGTTCAAACCTCTGCCTTCAGCTCAGGTCATGATCCCAGGATCCTGGGATCGAGCCCTGCATCAGGCTCTCTGCTCGGTGGGGAGCCTGCTTCCTCCTCTCTCTCTGCCTGCCTCCCTGCCTACTTGTGATCTCTGTCTGTCAAATAAATAAAATCTGAGAAAGAAAGAAAGAAAGAAAGAAAGAAAGAAAGAAAGAAAGAAAGAAAGAAAGAAAGAATAAAGACTATTTAGTTAAGGATCCTCCTTGCATTATGCTATGCTAAGCATTATAAAAGATAAATCGTAGAGACTGAAAAATACCAATAGAGATTTGCATCTATGAAGACGTGTATGATGATGGGGGCACCTGGCTGGCTCAGTTGGTAGAGCATTCGACTCTTGATCATGGGGTCGTGAGTTGGAGCCCCACGTTGGACATAAAGATTACATTGGGGGAGGAAAAAAACATATGACAGACTGTATATTCTTCTAAAATTTTTCATACTGGCCAGTAGGACTGTATTTTCTCCTGGTACTCACATGCATAAAATCATAGAAATTTCAGGCCTGCGACCTCTATGAAGAGAACTTCCAGGCCAGTGTTCTCAGAATGTGATTCTCAGACCTGCACCTTCAGCATCATGTGGAAACTTGTTATAAATCCAGATTCTCAGGGCCCATCCCAGACCTTCTGAATCTCTGTGGGTGAAGCCTAGCAGTCGTGTTTGAAGAAGCCTTTTAGGTGATTCTGACACACGCTAAAGACGAGAACCACTGACCTAATCCAGCATCTTCCTTTTCAGTGAAAGAAACCAAAGCCCAGGAACACTAGGGTTACATCTCATTAAGTCTTAGTGGTGTAGGAAAAATTACATTTTCCTCGGCTTGTTTCATCTTTAGATGTTATTTCACCTCTGAGGCCATAAAGATTTTTTCTTTTTCTTTTTCTTTTTTTATTTTTTTTTATTTTTTTATTTTTTTTTTAAAGATTTTATTTATTTGACAGACAGAGATGACAAGTAGGCAGAGCAACAGGCAGAGAGAGAGGGGGAAGCAGGCTCCCCGCTGTGCAGAGAGCCTGATGTGGGGCTCGATCCCAGGACCCTGGGATCATGACCTGAGCCGAAGGCAGAGGCTTAACCCACTGAGCCACCCAGGCGCCCCTCTTTTTCTTTTTTTAAAGATTTTATCTATTTATTTGAGAGAGAGAGTGAGCAAGAGAGCACAAACCACGAGGGGGAGCAGTAGAGGGAGAGGGAGAAGCCAACTTCCGCTGAGCAGGGAGCCTGAAACAGGGCACGATCCCAGGACCCTGGGGGCATGACCTGAGCCGAAGGCAGACACTTAGCCAACTGAGCCACCAGGTGCCCCCATAAAGATTGTTTCTTGCCCTCGCTCTTATTGATGGTTTTCTAAAATTCACTCTTGGACTTAGCCTCTGGAGGTGTCCTTTTCATATCACAGCTCTTTTTGTGGCATTTTATTTTCTGCTTTTTTTTTTTTTTTTTTTTTTTGGTCATCTTCTTTCGCCTTCAGTGTTATCCTTAAAGCTTTTCCATGAGTTCCTTAAAGGAGAGGGAGGGACCCTAACATGTTTTATTTCTCAGTTTAGAAGTGGTTCGGAAAAAGTGTTTTCTAGTCTGCAAAATGCCCCAACATTTTTGCAACAGTTGAATGTTTTCTTAAATCTGTCACTAAAAGGGAGGTTTCTGTGCCCAGTTCTTGGCACTAGTGTGCTTCATTAGAAAAACACTGAATTTGCCAACCTTTTCCTATGGGCTTGTGAGATAAAAAGATATTGTTCTTCAAAGAGCCCAAATAATTTAATCTCTGGAATCCTGGTCCCTGGGGACGTCTTCTCTGATTCCCTGCCCAGTCAAGTTCAGGTTCCTGGTATATGTTCTCATTTTACCATTTATTTCATCTTCACTGCATTTATCACAAGTACAGTTCTACATGTATTTATATGGTAATCTGATTAATAGCTACCTCTCCCACTAAACCTTAAGTCCTCTGAAAGTAAAGACCAAACCCAATGCTGTGTCCCCAGGGCATAGCACAGGGCCTGGCACACAAATTCTGCTCATGCACCCCCAGTCTGGTGTGACCCAGGGGGCTAACAGGGCCAGTGACCTGAGAAAGAGAAGACAAGAGTCATTCAGTCTTGTGGCTTTCAACTTTGTTTTTCTAGTAGCAGAAACGTTTTTGTACACCCACCCCTTGCCCCCGCCACCAAAGTAGACTTCCTGGATTTAGGGAGCACAGAAAAGTGGTGCTCTTCCTGAGCTACTTCTCTGCCTAGTGTTTGAAGTCTCCTTTCTCTAGTCCCATGTCTCTAGATGGGCTAACGGGGGTGCCGTGGTCCTAGAGCTCTGAACCGGTGCTATGTTAATAGGGAACAAAGATATATTCTGGGGCAGCCTCACTGGGCCTCTGCTGTTAACTGGCACCTCAGTCCTGGGAAATCTGGGAATATGAGCTGGAGAAAGGGTTTTAGCTTGAAATTTATTCACACTCCAAAAAATATGAGCTAATAAGCATTCAGCATCCATGCTTTTCCCACTCCCTGTTAAGAAAAAGCAGTCCCTGGCTTCTCTAATCTCTCCTTTGGCTTCCTAGCAGGAATGCTAGATAACTTAAATAAATATGTCTTTCAGGGCAACCCAGGTTCTCTAAAGTTAAAGATCATGTGTAGTTGACCTGCAGGAACCTGTTTAACTCAAGATGGCCTTTAACTCCCATACCGATAATACTACGCGGTCCTACGTTCAAAAGCATTCGGGGCTCAAGATGGGAGGTCTCTCCTCCTTCCCTGACCTCTCTTGACCTGCAACGGAGATTCCTTATCCTGGTTTTATCATCACCAAACTCCCGGCGGCCATAAAAGTTCTTTTCCCCCCACCCTGTCTCCCCTCTGCTCCATGCTGCAGTGTCCACTCAATCCCTGCCGTGAGTAAGTTAGAAGTAGTTTCTGGGTTGGTCAGAGCTGCAGCCCTCAGATGGGGTGTTTGTGTCTGAGAATCTAATTTCCTCATTATTTCCCTGGTCAGCCGTATATGTTCTATAGCCACGTGGCCAAATTGTCACCCAAGATTGTGATTCTCCAGTCCCTAACCCTAAAATCCATGTATGTAGGGAAGTTTTGGAGACTTAAGAGCAGATGATAATAGCATTCAGGTGCTACTCTTCTTGTAGGGCGCCCTCCTGCCGGACCTGAGTGCAAGGACCTCCCCTTTGCTTTGCCCCCACCCCTGCATCTGTGGAGATATTAACATGGGACTTCCATTCAAACCACCCCAAGCTCACAGGAGTATCCTGGTGTTGGTGTCTTTTGACTACTCATACCCTCATGAGCTTTCATCTTAAAACATGGAAGAGTATTGATTCTTTCTGCTTCCTAATATGGAAGCTGCTCAGTCTTCTAGCTCTCTCTCACCAGGCCTTTTTCTAGCCTTCTTTTGCTCTCTCAGTACATCCCAGCTATAGTATAATCAGAGCAGTCATTAGGTCAGAAGGAATATTTTTATTCCCTTTCTCTTGCTACTAGAGCCGACCAAACATTTTCTGACCTTTTGACTACGCTAACTTGTTGGACTAGTGTTTTCAGAGAACAATCTTTGGAACAATCTTTCTGCAGTTAAAACTGAGAGGTCAAAGCCTATCCCCTAGAATAGAGATTATAGATACTTTTACCCCAAGCTGATCTAATAAATGTATGAAAGTACATAGGCATGTCCATCTCTCCAGCCCACATATATTAGGTAGTGTTCTCCAGAGAAACAGGACCAATGAAGGTATAGAGAGAGAGGGAGAAATTTATTTTAAGGAATCAGCTCATGTGATTGTAGGAGCTGACAGATCTGAAATCTGCTGAGCAGGACAAGAGGATGGAAATTCCAGCAACAGCTGATGTTGCAGAATTGAGTCTGGAGGCAGAATTCCTTCCTCTCCATGGAGCCTCAGTCTTTTTGCCTAAGACCTTCAAATGATTATGAGGCCCACTCAGATTGTGGAGGGTGATCTGATATACTCAAAATCTACTGGTTTAAATGCTAATCACACACACACACACAAAAAGAAAAAAAACCTTCCCAACAGTGTCCAGACTGGTTTTTGCTGGACACCACAGTCTAACCAGGTTGGCACGTAAAATTACCCACCATACCTTCTCTGTTTATTTCCGATTCCTGGTTTGCACCTTCTGCCTCTACTTTCATTTTCCCTTAAGAATTTACTTGTCTTTCTCCAGCCTATAACTTGTTCTTCAGTCCCAGTCACAGTGTACCATTTTTATCCAAGCCATCACCTTTCCTCTTGTCCCAGGCCACCATCTGATAATAGTAGGCTTTTCAGAGCTCATGTGCCTTCAGGAAAAGATTTTCCCCCCAGTGTAAATCTCTTGGAACTTTGAGATTTTCTGGTGTGTTTTGTTCTTAGGTATTGGGAAGAATGTGGTTTGTGAGAAGGCAGCAACCTCAGTGGATGCCTTCCGGATGGTGACCGCCTCACGCTACTACCCACAGCTGATGAGCCTGGTGGGAAACGTGCTGCGCTTCCTGCCCGCCTTTGTGCGCATGAAGCAGCTGATCGCAGAGCACTATGTGGGCGCAGTAATGATCTGTGATGCCCGCATCTACTCAGGCAGCCTGCTCAGCCCCAACTATGGCTGGATCTGTGACGAGCTCATGGGTGGTGGGGGCCTGCACACCATGGGCACCTACATTGTGGACCTGCTGACCCACCTTACTGGCCGGAGAGCCGAGAAGGTACACGGGCTGCTCAAGACCTTCGTGAGGCAGAACGCAGCCATCCGTGGCATCCGCCATGTCACCAGTGATGACTTCTGCTTCTTCCAGATGCTCATGGGCGGGGGGGTGTGCAGCACAGTAACACTTAACTTCAACATGCCAGGCGCCTTTGTGCATGAGGTCATGGTGGTGGGCTCTGCAGGACGCCTTGTTGCCCGAGGAGCGGACCTCTACGGGCAGAAAAACTCTGCCACGCAAGAGGAGTTGCTCTTGAGGGACTCGCTGGCCGTAGGGGCAGGGCTGCCTGAGCAGGGGCCCCAGGATGTCCCGCTGCTTTACCTGAAGGGCATGGTCTACATGGTGCAGGCCCTGCGCCAGTCCTTCCAGGGGCAGGGGGACCGCCGCACCTGGGACCACACCCCTGTCTCGATGGCCGCCTCGTTCGAGGATGGGCTGTACATGCAGAGTGTGGTGGATGCCATCAAAAGGTCAAGTAGATCCGGGGAGTGGGAGGCTGTGGAGGTGCTGACGGAAGAACCTGACGCCAACCAGAACCTCTGTGAGGCGCTCCAGCGGAATAACCTGTGAGCCTGCACGTGGGCTCCCTGCCCCCGGGTCGGAGGGGCCAGGGGCAGGGGGGACCAGAAGCTGAGGCGGGCAGACTCGGCCGGAGCACAGACAGTGTCTTTCATTTCACCAGTGAACTTGGGCAGGGCCCAGGTGAAGCCCAAGGTGGCCCTGGGAAAACACCCCCTCCACTGCTCATCTACTCCTCACACTTGCAGGGTGCTGATGTAGCTGAGGGCCAGCACAGTGAAGCGGGCTGGAGCTGCCCCCGCTCTCTGCGCAGTCACGCTGGGAAGCAGAGCCAGCCAGAGCTTGACTTGGAGGCTGCCTTCGCCAAATGGTGGTCCTAACTAGGTGAGGAAGCATGGCAAGAACCCAGCTTGGCTGGTTCCTCACCTGAGGAAACATGACAAGAAGCCTTGTTTTCATGCCCTTCCTGGGCTAGGGCATCTCAGGAATGGTGAGGGCATTCAGTCGTCCCTCAGGGATCCGCACCTGTCGTCCTTCCCGTGTGACCAGGCCCTTCCAGCCTCTAGGCTGCCCCTTCCCTGGCAGGGAGGAGGGGTTGTTCATTAGGTAAGCTCTCAGGGGCTGTTGACCTGGGGGCAAAAGGGCCTGTGACTTGGCAGAGAGGAGATAGGGAGGGTTCTGGAATATCTGATAAATGTTCGTAAATAAACCAGAAAGTCTGACACTATGTCATGTAGTTGCTGGTGGTTTGTTTGGTGAGTTGGATTTCTTCAATCATGAAAGGCTTGTTTACTGTTATAGATTGTTTATGTTTTTCTCTTTCCTTGTGGCTCCACAGCAGCTCTGGCCTGCTTTGGATCCATCACAGTCTAGTGAGCTTATCCCTTGCGACTGAATCCCAGGAACCCTCCAGGGAAAAGTCTTTTATCAGACAACAGGACTCGAGACTTCCTAACCTGTGCTTGTCATGCATGCCGTCTCAGGGAGATAGGGAGAATTAGGAACCCTCCTGGGCTGGAGGTCAGGAAGAGTTCTGTTCTCGCAACCATGGATTTGGCTCTGGAGAGCCCTGGGAGAGGAGAAGTGAGGAGTGCTCTCAGGGAACCTGGATGGAATGAACTAGAGGACGGTTCCACGTCTTGCCCCATGGAGTGGGTATAGCCAAAGGCCGCCTGACCCAGACAGCCGGTCACCAGCTTTGCTTTTTTTCTTTTTTTAAGATTTTATTTATTTATTTGACAGAGATCACAAGTAGGCAGAGAGGCAGGTAGAGAGAGGGGGAAGCTGGCTCCCCAGTGAGAAGAGAGCCCCATGCGGGGCTGAATCCCAGGACCCTGAGATCATGACCTGAGCTGAAGGCAGAGGCTTAACCCACTGAGCCACCCAGGCGCCCCAGCCTTGCTTTTATTAACTGGTCTACACTGGGACCGCCTTTTAACCATGTCAGAGGTGAGGTGGGTGGGGGGAAAGGACACACGCACCCCTTTGTTTCCTCTGCCAGCCTTCCCAGATTAGGCCTAAATCCAACTCTTCCCTTCTCTAAACTTCCTCTCTCTTCCTTGCCCTGGGCTCCTTGCCAGAGAAAGAAAGGTTCAGGGAAGCCTCCCTCTTCCTCTTGGCATCCTTTCTAGAATTTGTCAGGCTGATTTTCCTACGTGTTGTCCTGGTTCTAAACCTTGTCCTTGTGCAACAACACAGCAGTGGCTAGTGTCGGGGAGTGTGCTGCTTGCATGCTGCCCACCGCCTCCCTCCCGGGGAAGACACTTCATGTGTGTTACTTCATTTAATATCCAAACCACTCTATGGGGTACCACTACGAAAATTCTCATTATTCAGATCAGAAAACTGAGGCAGAGAGGGGCAAAGTTCCTTGCTTCCTATAAGTTACAAGTGATGGAGCCAGGAAGGAGTCTGGTCAGGGTCATCTGACTACAGAGCCTGACCCTAGACTACTCATTCCCCAGCACTTGCAGATCTCAGAGACCAAGTGCCCAGGCACTGCCCCTTCCCGCTCAGGCCCCCTTCCAGGTTACTGCCTTCCCTCTGCAGCAGGAATTTCAGTGAGGCCTCAGCCAGGAGGCAGACTGCAGAGAGAGCCCACAAGGCAGGATGCCGGTAGAGTTTAGAAAGGGGTGGGTGGGTGGGTGCCTGGGTGGCTCAGCCAGTTGAGTGTCAGACACTTGATCTCAGCTCAGGTCTTGGTCTTGGGGTTATGGGTTCCAGCCCCGCATTGGGATCCATACTGGGTGAGGAGCCTACTTTAAAGAGAAAGAAAGAGAGGCAGGCTGCTTTCTTCTTCCTGGGGTGATCAGCTCAGCTCCAGGTCAGTCCCTCTGTGTATTAGTAGGATGATGGGATCCTTCCTAAATTGGGGTATTTACTAAGAAAGCACAAGTGTCCATCATACATGACTCAGGTGCTCTTACTTAAGGAAGAGCCAGGTTGCTGACCCACAGTGGCACTACTGAAGTTTCATGGGGCTCCACAGCAAACCCCTTGTTGACAAAGACAGGTTCCCAGAAGTCCTGAGGCAAGTGGCAGTGGGCTTGGTGTAGAGCTACTTTTGTGAGGACGCTGGGGTCCTCTGTTGGTACTCCCCAGAGCATAGGTCCATGGCCATCCCCCAGAGGCCTGTGGCTGAGGAAACCAGCTGGGTTCTCCTCCTCAGGGGTGACGGTCTCTGCATTCAGATCCAGGCTTGTCGCGCCGCGCCCCCTCCTGGAGGAAGGCAGCATCACCTCCCGGGACCAGCTCCCTAATCTCAAGGATCTTCCTGGGGGCAGAGTAGATTAAATTTTTCCAAGCCGCTGGAAATGCAGTTTGCTCTCTGTGAGAGCAACCAGAAAAGAAGTTCCAAATACCTATTGCTTATTTCTCAACTCCCAACCAAATGTAGGCCTCATACTCCTCCAAACAGCAGTCAACCTAGCAGCCCCCCTTACCTCCCTGTCCCATCTCCCCTCCACGTTTTGCCCTTCTCACTCCTGCCCAAGTGACCTCTCCAGAATGCCGGGCCAAGATCCTCCTTGCCTACACTCCTTCTCATCACTCCCAGAATTCCCCACCCTGGTTTGGTGGCCATGCCTCTGCTTAAGCCATGCTAAATGAGGGGGCCCTCCTGCATGGGGCTGACTTCTTCCACATAAGCAAGGTTTTTCCCTGGTGCACCTCTGCTTGGAAGGCCCCCCAACTCTCCTTCAGGAGTTAGCTGGAGGGCTGTCTCTTCACTGCTTCCCTAGGCAAAATGGCAGCTCTTCCCACCACCGAGGTCCCACAGCGTTGGTCCTCCGCTCTTCTGTGGCACCTGTCTCCTTGCATTACACTCAGCATTTCCCCCTTAGAGTGAGCTCTTATTTATTTTTTAAGACTTTATTTGAGGGAGAGGCAGACTCCCTGCTAGTAGGGACCCTAATACAGGGCTTGTTCCCAAAACCCTGGAATCATAACCTGAGCCAAAGGTAGACACTTAACTGACTGAGCCACCCAGGCGCCCCTAAGGCACTTTTAGGAACAACAGTAGTGACTTGTTCTTTCTGTGGCTACTCTAATCCACCCTGCTTAGAAAAACCTGTCAGGAAATAGACCTGCAAATGTAGATCAGTTCTGAGTATTTCCTACAAGACCTGTTGGAAGGGAGGGACAGAGCTTCCTCGTCAGTGCTGGCCTGGGTCAGGCCTCAGCCAGAGTTGTCAGGTCCAGATCTGCAGGGTTCAGGAAAGGACAGTGTCTCCCTGGTGTCCGGGGTGTGATCTCATGTGAAGCCACTTCACTCAAGGCCTCTGCTTCCTCAGCCATGAAGTGAGGCAGTCAAGCTCAGTTAACTTTTTTTTTTTTTTTTTTTAGGATTTTATTTATCTGAGAGAGCAGAATGAGAAAGATCATGAGCGGGGTGAGGGGCAGAGAGAGAGGGAGAAACAGACCCCCGGCTAAGCAGGGAGCCCGATGTGGGGCTCAATCCCAAGACCCTGAGATCATGACCTGAACCAAAGGCAGATGCTTGGCTAACTGAGCCACCCAGGTGCCCCAAGCTCATTTATGTTAAAGAGCCCTTTACCTCTGAAAAATCCTGCAGAATCCATAATCATCCCTATGGACAAGACTTGGTCTGCATGGTCCCTGTGGACAGTATCTTCTGGGGTGGTCTGGTCGCTACCCGGGGAGAAGTGTGAGCAGAAATAATTAAAAATAAATAAATAATAATAATAAAGTGTGAGCAGAAAAAGTGAATAATACAGGTCTTTCAAATGACCTGTAAAGATGGAAGCAACTTGGGACGATGCCGATTTTCTTCCTGCTTCCATCTGGGCCTGCCCACCCTATCCCAACGATCTTGCCAGGCCATTATTCAAGGGGTCCCCCACATGGTTCTGGACTTTGGATGAAGTGATGACCTGTTCTCTGCAGCTTCCTCAGCTCCCCACCTTGGCCTCCTTATCTTTGTGCCTTTTGGGGGGGCCCTCTGCTAGGTTGGCGCAATGCAGTGACAAATGCTCCTGGGGAGTTCACAGCCTAGTCCCGAAAACAGTTATAACCCACAGCAGCAGTGGTATGTAAATGCTACACCCTGGGTGGTAGAAGCAAAGTTCCCCCAAGTCTTCAAGGTAAGAGCGCAATAGCCAGGTGGAGGGGTAAAGGAATAAAGGCATTTTAGGCAGGGGAAGTCCCACGTGGAGAGAGTAAAAGAAAGATGTGGCTGGTCAGGGACTTAAAGCCACTGAAAAGTTTTTTTTTTGTTGTTTTTTTTTTAAAGATATTTATTTATTTATTTTACAGACAGATCACAAGTAGGCAGAGAGAGAGGAGGAAGCAGGCTCCCCACTGAGCGGAGAGCCAGATGCGGGGCTCGATCCTAGGACCCTGGGATCATGACCTGAGCCGAAGGCAGAGGCTTTAACTCACTGAGCCACCCAGGTGCCCCACCACTGAAAAGTTTTAAGGCAGCTGGGGCAAGAGGTGCAAGATGCTAGAAGGGAAGCAACAGATTGGGTTCAGGTGGGTGTGCAGCGGGATCACTGGGTGGATTCATCGGGCAGGGGACCACAAGCAGGGACAGTAGGGTGCTCTCACCTGAAGATAACCGTCCCAGGACAGGGGTGCTGACTATAGGATCTGAGAGACTCAGCCTAGAGGGTACATACACCAGATTTGCTGCCTGATTAGCTTTCAGGAGTAAAGAATAAGCGAAGAACAGGATGGGCTCTGGGGCGACACCCATGATTTTGGCTTGAACAGTTGTGCAGATGAAACGGCGAAAAAAGCAGATTGGACAAAATTTAATTTGGAAATCCTTACATTTAAGATATATGAAGGACATGCAGGAGGACCAGGAGGCAGCAGGATATGAGGGTTTCCAAAATGTCCAGCACTGGCTGCCGCTTAAGCTTTTGCCTATTTGTGGTTATCCAGTGGCTTGTCTGCAAGGCTCAGGGAGAACATTCACATCCTCCACTACCCCGTGGCTGCCAGGAAAAAGGCACCAATGCCTCTGTTAGCGGGGCCACCTTAAGGGCAAAGTCTGGTTCAGCTGTGGCCTCCAGTAAGCAGATGAACTTGGACACCTCAATGGGGGACCTTAAGTGTTGGACCCTCCTGGTCAGACCAAATGCAGACTGCTCCCCTGGGAGACAGGGAGAAGAGCCAAGCACTTGCTTGCTGTGACCTGGCCATCCCTTTCCTTTCTCTGCCCCAAGTTTCTCCTTATCATCACCTCCCTCTACATCCCCACTG